AGGAATATAGAAGAAGCATGAGACATGGCCCCATTCCTTCAAGAGTTAACATTTAGTTGCAAATGTAACTAATATATGCAAAAATAATAATTTATTCTACTGTTTTATTAAATGCTAAGTTATGTGGTTCTGATTAAGTGTTTCAATGTGTAGTTTGTCAGTAAATAGAATAGTAAGGCTCAGTATAGTCAGGGATGATTTAAAGAGTAAAATACAGTGTGATCTGAGCTTCAAAGAGTGGGTTGAGTGCATAGGGGGATGTAGGACATTCTAGCGGAAAGGAATAAGGCACTCAAAATCTCAAAAATTTGGGTATATTTGATAAGTATTCACAGTACTGTGAGAAGGATATTTAAATAAGATTCTTTGACTACCACTGCTGAGCAATCAGTTTTGAATAATACCTTCTGAAAAAATATTATTATAATATATTTTTCCAGTTTTATTGGGATATAATTGACATATAACATTGTATTAGTTTAGGGTGTACAACATAATGATTTGATATACTTATGTATTGTGAAGTTATTACCACAATAAATTAACATCCATCACCTCACATATTTTTTAACCGAGGTATAATTGACACACAGTGTTGTATTAGTTTCAAGTATATAGCATAATGATTCAGTATTTGTATAAATTGTGAAATGATCATTACAATAAGTCTGGTTAACATCTGTCACCATACATACATGTGTTTCGTTTTTAATATTTACTTTTCTATCCCTTGAAACACAAAAACATCTTAATTAAATAGTCTTAATTTATGAAAATTGCCTGTCTTTTCTAGAAACTCTGCCTAATGACTTTTTTTTGGTGCTGCTGGGTACTTTTTTCAGTCTTCTACCTACAATTTTTGTACTGTGTTTAATTGATTCCCAGTGAAATGCTCTTTAGATAAACTGAATCAACATTACCTTCTTTATTCCTTGTATTGGGACCTGAGATTCTTTTAAATAATATTTTGAAAATTTTCTTTACTGTTAGGTTAAATGGGGCCACTGAAGTTAAGGGCTGATAAACAAATTTATAGTAAATTTCCTTTGGGTGAATTAATGTTTACTCAGTGCTCCATAAGCTCTGTTTTTTGTGATGGTCATGTGTTCAGTCATGTCATACAGTGGTTGTTTTTACAAGAAAGGTCAAAAGAAGAGAGTTAATCTCCTTTATGTTATTTTTTAAAAATCACAACTAACCAGGCTTATTAAAATTATTCATAATTACGCCTGCATTATAACATTAAGGCAAAACACACTTATTTCATTGCCTTCTTAAGAATCAATATTTCTTCAAGTGGGTTGCATCAGAATTAAAGGACCTGTGATCAGAATCAATTGGGATATTCATCAAAATTTATATTCCTGAGTCCTACTCTTCAGGGTACGGAAGAGATGAGAGAATCTGCATTTTTACATACATGCCAGGGAATTCTATGTCTTGAAGTTTGAGAACCACTGCTTTAGGGAAATACCGTCTCAGATCTCTCCACAGCTGTGCTGCAGGGCCAAGCATTGATACTTGGTAGATATTACCATTTGGAATCTTGCCTCAGTTGGTATTTCATGGGATCTGTTTTGTTTTTGAAATTACAGGATAAGTTGAGCTTTTTTCTTAAGAAAAACTTATTTAAAAATTAGTTAGTCCTCTAGAAAAAAATTAGAGGTCCTTTGTCAAGTCTCTTTTTCTAATTTGGCATTGTTGCTTTTTATCCAACAGTAGTTTCTTCATTGAAAGTGTTTGGATTTATGTGCACCTTTTCTCAGATAAATTGCATATAGGCCTCCACTCATGAAAGACCAATATTTCTAAAGTTTTAGTAAGTTAAAAGGTGAAGGCTGGAAATAGTAAATTTTGCTCCTTTCCACCGTTCCTAAGAATGGTATAAAATTACTTGTACGCTTGAAGCCATTTATGATTTCCCTCACTGCCTATCTTGGTGCATTGGTGACATGTTACAAGCAGTTCTTGCGGCTTTCATGGAGAAATCGTGACTTCGGCTTCTTGCTCCCTGCTTCTTGGTAGTGTTGAGCCATTTGACAGAGATCATGGGGCATAGGACACTGTGGGTCATTGATGTGGAAACCCATGGTTATTGTCTGTGGTGCAGGATAGCAGTGACAGCATTCTCACAGGTAAAAAACAAGACGCATAGTTGATCTAACAAGTAAGTGACAAGTAAATACGACAGAAATTAGTCCTGAGAGAAAAAGGCAGTGCTATATGGAGCCTAAATGCCTTAAGGACAACTTAAAGTTGTTACTCATGCTGGAGAGCCATTCCTACCATTTAACAAAATTTTTTTATTGTATTTTTTTCCATTATCGTTTACTCCCCATATACCTCCCTATCTCCCGCAATCACCACACTGTTGTCCATGTCCATGAGTCCTTTTTTCCTTTTTGCTCAATCCCTCCACCCCTAACCTCCCCTTCCTTAGCTGTCAAACTGTCATCCTGCTCTCTACTTACGAGTCTGTCTCTATTTTCCTTGTTGTTTAGTTTGTTCATTAGATTCCACATATTGAGTGAAGTCACATGATATTTCTCTTTCTCTGACTGGCTTATACCATCTTTGAAATGATAAAAAGATTTGCTTTATTATAGTCAATGATGAGTCCTTCGTAGCTAACCACTTCCACATACCTATTGTTGTGACTTGGTCTTTGATCTATTAGGTTGAGCCAGGGTTTGTTTTGGCTTTTGACTTACATGCTATAATATAAGATTAGTTTGCATTTGAAATGAAAGGGACTGAAGCATGATTGGTCAAATGGTGATTGTCAATTTAAAAACACCTAGGTCAGATTTCTGAAGGTATACTATTAAGAAGTCAAAATGGCTTTTGGAAGCATATCTGTTTGTGTTTGCACAAAGTGAAGAATGAGGATATCTGTGGTGCAGGATAGCAGTGACAGCATTCTCACAGGTAAAAAACAAGACGCATAGTTGATCTAACAAGTAAGTGACAAGTAAATACGACAGAAATTAGTCCTGAGAGAAAAAGGCAGTGCTATATGGAGCCTAAATGCCTTAAGGACAACTTAAAGTTGTTACTCATGCTGGAGAGCCATTCCTACCATTTAACAAAATTTTTTTATTGTATTTTTTCCATTATCGTTTACTCCCCAAGTTTAGAATGAGGAGGTCATTCTAAACAACCATGTACTAAACATGATTGGCATTAGGGGTTCCTCAACATCTCTGCACAGAATTATTGTAAGCATTAATGAAATACATCTTTCCTGGGGGAGGAAAAGATCTAGGACCAAGGTAAAGAGGAGCTCTTTTTCCTGCCCTGCCCCATGAATTTTATCCTTTTCACTTTATTTCATTACAAATGTAATGATCATTTTCTCTGTGATAGGCATTGTGCTAGCTAGCAATGGGAATGTGGAAAAGGGTAAGATTTGGCTCATGATATTTTTTAATAGCTTTGTGATATAATACACACAATTTACCCATTTGATGTATAAAATTCAGTGGTTTTTTTTTTTCAGTATATTCACAGACTTCACATTATTCAATATAGTTCCAAAACTCATAACATTTTTTACTAAAAATTTTTTTAGGTCCAGAGTGGGGAAAATCCTCCTTGGCTCCATTCCTAGGTCTTCTCTTTCTATCAGAATAATGAGACCTACTAATTATTAAATACCACCACCTATTAGCTCGGCATTGTGTCCAGTTGCTTTGTAAATGTTCTCTCATTATAAGCTCCCAATAACCCTCAAAATAAGTTTTATCCCTACCTTCCATATAATGACAGTAATATCTATATACCTAGCATTTTTTGGAGTACAATTATCTCATTTAATATATGTAGAAACTTACTTCTCTAGATTCCATTTTCTTTTTTTCCCCCTTTCCACTAGTTATTAACTCTAACTTTCACCTCCTGCTTCTTCTTCTAGTTCTTGAAGCTTGACAGGCTTTTTTTGTGACAGAGAGAAATATAGAAGCAGTTAAGATTTTCAAGGTTTTGATGAAAATCACAAAACCGAGATGCTATATTTATATCACAAATTTTTTAATGGGAGAGAAACTCCCCAGACGCAGGCACATGAGGCAAATGCCAGCCTACTGATGGGCTATGGCCAAATAGTAGTTCCTTTCAACCCTCAGCTTTGATTTAGAGAGAGATGAAAACATTTTCTTTCTATAAACTTCTAAGTGTCTGTTATTTTTAATCTGAGATTTGTTTTTCCTCCTTACAGATGTATCTAACTCTTTTACCAGTTAGTCAACTTCTCTGTACTATGAAGTGATTCATGTGCAAACATTCCTGTAGTAAAATTGTTCTCTTGGAAACAAACAAACATAAACACAAACCATTTTTAAATGCCCATGAAAAATCTGTGTGACTATGTGATGAACTATCATTGGTAAAAAGTAAGGAATAGTAAGAGGTTCCTATAAGTTTTGACAGATGTACAGCTAGAAAAAAAATTGCTTCTCCCCAAACCCCAGCACACAAAAATATTCATGTTAGTTAACTTTCTGGCATTGACTTAGATATTTTATATTATTTCTGGTGAACAATTGACAGTGGTTATTGAAGCCAGTTTCTGCACTGGTTTTAATTCAAGGATGATAATGTTTTGTGATGTATATATTTCTTAGACTGTGGAAAGAACGTTGTTAATAAAACTGCCAATTAAAAGGAAAATTTTACCAACCCTAATAATTAATAATTGAATCTGAACTATTTTAAATGAAGGGTGTAAATGAGGAAGAAGTTGAAGTGTCTACTTTGAAATTGTTTTTGGACCAGTTAGGCTGTTTTTTTCCCTAATAAAAAAACTTTTTGAACCTACAATTTCTTGTTAGTTCCTTTGATAATTGCTTCTTTAATGTTCAGTATTTTTTAAAGTACAGTTAGTTATATATTTTACTTGTCCATCTAAGTATCATATACTGTCATTCTGAGTTTGGAATTTTTTTCAACCATAAGCAAGGAAACAAGTATCCTAATGGTTTTATTTTATTTTGTTTTCCTAGGAGTCAGAGAATAATAAGTTATGTTCCCTATATTCCTTCCGAAATACCTCTACCTCACCACATAAGCCTGACGAAGGGAGTCGGGACCGTGAGATAATGACCAGTGTTACTTTTGGAACCCCAGAACGCCGCAAAGGGAGCCTTGCCGATGTGGTGGACACACTGAAACAGAAGAAGCTTGAGGAAATGACTCGGACTGAACAAGAGGGTATGTGTGGACTTAACTGTTGGGCTTTATTCTTTTAAAGATTCCAGGCCTTAAAAAAATGAGTGGGATTTCAAGGGCCAGAGAAGGGCATAATTGGCACTAGCTAGGAAAAAGTTATTCAGAAGTTACCATGGTGATGGCAGATTGTGATCCATTAAGTGTTAAGCAGATAGCTCATTTTTTTTTGGTAAAACTTTGTGCATTTTTTTGGTCTTAAGATAGCAAATCAAGGTTTTAAACTAACTGTAAGCCTTTCCCTGAAAAAAAGTAATATAGGAATTTTTCCAGCTGCAACTTTATTTTTGATTTTTTGTCTCTTTTTTCCTTTTGATTGATAGTGTTTTACCCTACAAATATCAACTGCTTAAAAAGCAAAAAGAAAACCCCAAACAATTTACTTCTCCTCATTTTTATGAATATCATAAATAGTATTATTTTGCTTCCAAATGTTGTAGAATTGAGATTTGAAGGTTTCTAATATTGTTAAAGCCAAATGTTCAAGGAGGAAGTGCTTTGACACATGACATGTTTTCTAATGTCGCATAACCACCTCTCTACTCTCTCCACAAGAGTCCACTTAGGGTCAAATATGTCCTAAAAAACAGATGAAAGGCTCTTTAAAACATTTTAAATAAATCAAACCTAAGTGATTGCTAGAATATGTATGGTCTTTCATTTTTTTATGTGCAGATTTTAGATTTTAAAATGTAGGGTAATTAATGATTCTGGATTTATTACTAACATTGTAAGTTAGACTTAAAACTCTGTGACACTGTGGGGAAATGGGGATTTGATATAAGGGAATTTTTCATTTAATTTTATTCCTTCAAGGGCCCCAAAATTTAAACTTTCAGATTAATTTTTGTGGATGTGTTCAGCACATCAGCAAGTTTTGTGGAAGTTTCTAAAATGTATTATGTACCTTTCTGTCTTACTAACCACATTATATAGAACACAGTGTAGATATTATTTGATGACTTGGGGGTCATGATTCAGTAGACTCTGAACTCCAGTACCTAACAATTAATATGACCCTGTGTAAGTTCTACAATCGTCCTGAGCCATGAATTTTTAAATTTGACATGGTACAATTACCTGACTTGGTAACTGAAATATTTTGAGAATTAACTATAATAATGAATATAAAAGTTTTTTATGAACTGCAAACTACATAAATTTGAAGGTTATTGTATCATATTATAAATGTTAGTTATTTTACCATACTATAATGTAATGATGTCCCCAGAGATCACTGGGGTAATTAGGACTCTTTGGCTTTATGGTTATTTCTTTGCAATTATGTAACCTTGAAGTTCCTGTGTCTGCTTGATATAGATATTTTTCAGCCATGAGTGTTTGGGTTGGTTTCTGCTCTTTAGGTTGTAGGCTGCTACTTCTTGTTTAGTTGTGAATAATTTATAATTTTCTCCTATTTATCTATAAATTATGAAATCAGATGATCATGACATTCTGGACTATATTTAAAATATGAACAAATATGTCTGTGTGAATTACTGAGAAATTCCAGGTAATATACATGATCTTTAGTACATGGACATTGTGCTAACTCTTCTGACTGCTCATATTTTATGTTATGCATTCTTGTCTATATTCTAGAATAATTGAGGCTGCCAGATCAGTAATCTCTGAATAAGTGAGATTGCTAGATTACTTTTATAAATCACCAGAAAGATGGTTTTAGTTCTATAAGAAAGTAGTTTTCAAAATACATTAGGGGACCCTTTAGTAAAAAATAAAGAAATTGATTTCTGATCATTGTTTTGTCCAGATTACAAGGGAATTTAAACTAATTTTTCTCTTGCAAGCAATGGTTAGTTTTGTACTCTTCGTCTTTATTACTGTGTTATAGATTTTATGAAATAGACACTTTTATTTTTTATTTTTTATGCTGATTGATAATATATCTTATTTTATTATTTTATTTTTTTAATTAATTTATTTACTTTTTAAATACATTTGTCTCTGAAATAGACACTTTTAGAAGATGAGACCTACAATTTAAGAGTTCTTCATCACTATATTCCTACTATTGGAGAATGTCATCTATGTACTTTACGAAACATTGATTATTTTCTACAGTACATATATTTTAGGCATCAGAATTCAGGTATTTTTAGTGTATGTTAATGTATGTAACATAGTAAATACAAACATTAAAATGTGATAAACATGCTCATCAAACTTACAGATGCCACAAATATGATAGAAACAGTGAATATAATGTATGAAATATAGAAAACAAAAGGAAAACTGAAAATATGGACTTAAAATTAATCATCAAGGTAAAATTTAATACTTTGTATAGTCAAGTCCAGAGGTTGTAACCGGAACTCCTAGCATGTCAAGTAATTACTGAAGGAAACTCAAGTAACAGACACATTAATTTTTTATAAAAGTTGTGAGTTTAAGGAGACAGAAAGTACAGTGGAGGTAGCATAATGAATATTGCTAAAAAATTACCAGTGCTATCTCAGTTAGCATTACTAAAATTGCAGTATGTAGCAAAGAGTGGTAGTCCTATTGAACTACCTGATCAATAGAATGCATCTGAAATATTGTGTTGAGTTGAGAATTACCACATTCCACAAGAGACTCTAAGTATTCTGAGAGGAGAACAATTGACATGATAACAGATGCAAAATTATAAAATAAAAGGAATGGTTGAAGGAACTAGTAATATTAACCATGGAGAAAAGAAAATCAAGGATGACATGATGGTTGTCTATAAAGATTAAAGTCAAATGGAGGAGGGATTGAATTTATTCTAATTCCTTGGGGATAGAATACAGATCAGTGATAAGAAGTTACGAGGAACCACATTATTGTTTATAATAAGACCAGCTATTGAATAGTTGTAGCTGTCCTTGTATGAGATACTCTTCTTGGGAAGATAATGAGTTGTCCTTGGAAGTATGCAGCAATCTTTTCTTTCTTCTGTTTAGCTTTCTAAAAAATTGTTGACATTATTACAGATGTACCCCATTCCTCCACTCTTTGCTCACCTCTACCAAGACCCTGCCTCCCCTCCCCCGGCCTTCACCATGCTATTGTTTGTGTCCATGGGCTATGCATATTTGTTCTTTGGCTGATTTCTTCACCTTTTTTTATACAATCCTGCTCCCACCCCCACTCCTCTGAGATCTGTCCATCTGTTTGATGTATCCATGCCTCTGGTTTTAGTTTGTTCATCAGATTCTACATATGAATGAGATCATACGGTATTTGTCATAATTACATTTCAACAGGGCTATTGTAGAAGACAGAGAATTAGTTTTTTTCCAATGCTTGGATTATTAATTTTTATGAACAATATGTTCATACAATATTCTGTAGTTCATAGTATACTTTTATAGCCCTAATCAAGGACTGCATGGTACCATGATTATTTTTCTGCAAGTTTTTTATTTCTTATTTTGTGAAGTGCTGTATTGGAACTGAGAGATCCTTACCTTCTAATTCTGCCCTTCCCCCAGCCCCCTGGGTGGATCCCTTTAGTAAGTCTAGTGAAATCAACAGGTCCTTTCTTATTTGAAAAACATGAAGTAAAATCCATGGAATTATAGAGAAAATGAATTAAATTAAAATTTTAAATATTAAATATTGCGATATGATGTAAAGTGCTACTTTACTAGTACAATATCATGAAATATATTGTGATTTTATTAGTTACTATGTCACAGATACTATGAATGTTTTGTGGTTTGTTGCCTGCATCCATGATTTGAGGAAATATAAAATATCAATTAAAGGTTAGTGATTTTTTTATCTGAGTTCATAGACCCCCTGAATTTTACAGATGGGTTCTTGGAATCTGTGAACCGTAGGTTAAGAACCTCTATGCTCTATGATAGGGGCCACCAATAATGAATGAAACAGCTTTAACGTTAAAGAGTTTATATTCTAGTAAGAGGCATAAGACATATAAAAATGAACTATAATTAAGTATATAATATGTGATAAGTTCCATGAGAGCTATATCAACAAAATGTTATAGGAGTTTAAAGTATAGTTTGCACCTGCCTAGAAAGCCATGGAAAACTGTTTAGGGAAATGGATCTTAATCAGTCTTAGATAATGAAAGGACTCACATAGGCAGAAACGGAGGGGAGGTACATTTCAGGCAGAAGGAACAGGCAGAGATCTGTAAAACATCCAACAGTTCAGGATCTAATTAAAAGTAGTAGGAGAGTAGTAATAGAGTGGAACTACAAAAACAGCCAATGAACAATTAATGACAATAAGTACATTCTCATCAATAATTACTTTAAAAGTAAATGGAATAACTTCTCTAATCAAAAGACATCTATATGCTTCCTACAAAAGACTCAGTTTAGATGTAAGGGCACACAGAGACTAAAACTGAAGGGATGGAAAAAGATATTCCATGCAAATAGAAACCAAAGGAAAGCTTAGAGTAGTTATCTTATTTCATTAAAAAATAGATTTTAAAACAAACTGTAGTAAGAGAGAAAGATAAGCATTACATAGTTATAAAGGGGTCAATTCAAGAAGAGAATATAATGTGTGAATATGTATGACTCCATTACAGGAGGACCTTAATATATAAAGCAATTATTAGCAGACCTAAAGGAAAAAATGGACAGCAATATAATAGTAGTAGGATATTTTTAATACCCCATTTATATCAATGGATAGATCCTCCAGACAGAAAATCAATAAGGAAACATCAGTCTTAAATAGCATATTAGATCATATGGACTTAACAGATATATACACAACTTCACATCCAAAAGCAACAGGATACAAATACTTCGCAAGTGCACATGGACCATTTTTCAGGAAAGATTATATATTAGGCCACAAAAGAGTCATAATAAATAAATTTAAGAGGATTTAAATCATATCAAGCATCTTTTCCAACCACAATGGTATGAAACTTGAAATTAATTATATGGAAAAAAACGGGAAAATTCACAAATATATGATTAAGCAACATGCTATTGAATAAGCCACGAGTC